TCTTGTGTAGTGTGCATGCAAAGTCCTCGTCTGTGTGAGTGTGTACGCAAAGTCCTCGTCTTATGCGTCAGTGTGTACGCAAGGTCCTCGTCTTGTGTGAGTATGTACGCAAAGTCCTCGTCTTGTGTGAGTGTCTATGCAAAGCTCCCGACATTCGGACAAACATTCGGACTTCGTGAAAGTATAACCGCACCTGCAGTGAAAAAATCGCTGTAAGTAAATCGAAGCGAGCTGTTCAAGATCTCACAAACCAAAGCCAGGAGCATATTTCAAAAACTGTTTTGATGACGAAGCCGACGCCGAAGCCAGAAGCCACAAATAGCAGAACCGAAGCCGAATGCAATGGTTGCAAATGCCACACAGCCAACGTCGAAGTCAGCCGTGGCATTGTTGAGAGTCGAAGCCAACCCCGAAGCAATTGCATTGAATGAAAATGCCACTTCGGGAAGCCCAAGCCGAAGCCGAGGTCGAAGCGGAAGCCGGCTTCTTCCCATGTCTGTCTTAAATGAACAAGCCAACAAACAACGTGGTATGTTAAGCCCTGCTTTCATCGAACTCGGAAGCTAGCATAATTGTATTTATCACGTTTAATGGCATGTTTAAAAGAACGATTCAAAATGGATGCATGAATCCATCCATCAATCATGCATGAATGAACGAAAACTATTGCTAGGCCCTGGCAATGGTGACCTCAGCACATAAACCGTGAGCCGGCGCGCGCGGGGCTGCCGGGCTGACGGCCGCCAGACCGACCAGCGGCGAGCTTCAGACAGCTCCCGCCGCCGCCGCCGCCGCCTGCAGATGCCTTGACCGGCACGGAATGTGGCTCTGGCGGGCGGGCGACGCCCGGGAGGCGAGCGCGGCTGGCGGGGTCGGGCGAGCGCTGCAGATGTCACCGCGGCGGCGCGGCCGACCGACCGACGTCCGACGGGGACAGGTGACCGGCGCCGAGCGGGCGCCGCTGACAGCGCGCGGCGGGTCAGCCCTGCGCGCGACAGACGCCAGTGCTTCCATGCCTCCGCCTGCCGCGAATCAACAGTGTCCCAAGTTGTCCGGGAGGTATAAGCGATAGACAGAACTGTGCCGGGGCGCATTCATCATTCGCCTTTAGGCCGTTCGTGAAGCCAAACGGTCCTTTCTGCCAAGCTGAGAGGCAGGCGACGCCTCACAGCCTCGCCTGCTGTGTCGCTAAGCCCCAATTACAACAAACCAACCACATGCATGGCCGACAACGCGGTACGGATCGCCTGCGTGCGAAGACGTGCCCAAGATGGCCATCCACAAACCCTGTTGATCTGGTCCGCACTGCTCAGCATCGTGCGATCGCTGTCAGACCCCTGTCCGCCCGGCTCCAGCATTCTCCTGGGCATGTGGTGACCACAGCCATTCACCTCGAACGCGGACAACCTTGAAACGGTTTGGAATGCGCCTGCACGATCGTCACGTGACGCGCACCCCTGGATGTCGCACGAACCAGCCTTTCAGCGGGGGCGTCGCTGGGTTTACCGGCAGCCCCCAGCGGATCCTGAATCACGGGCCTGAACTGCCACCACCGTCCACCGTTCGTCATTTCGCACCGCGAACTCACAAACGAGCCCGAGCGACCCCCGCCTGTTATTCACGATTTCGCAGTCCGAGCGACGCGCTACGCGGCCTGACTCAGCCGCCGCCGTTTCAGACGGGCTACTACGGCAAGGAGTTCACCACGTGCGGCATCATCCTGGCCGTCTGCTTCTTCCCGCTGGGCATCATCTGCTGCTGGATGATGCGCGAGGACAAGTGCACGGCGTGTGGCCACACGCGGTAGGCCGACGGCGGATGAGACCGGAGGGGCGGCCCAGCCGGGCGCTGGCCACAGCGCGGTGGCGGCGGCGGGCGGCGCGCCCGGCCCGTCGGCGCTGCTACGCACGCGCGCTTTGCGGCCAGATGAGGGTGGTAGGGCGGGGAGGTAGACCGCCGGAGCGCGGGCGTCGCTCGGCCGCCGCCCGCGCGACCCGTCAGCCGCCCGCCGGTCGTGTCTAGCCTGCGCTTTGTCCCGTTCGTCAGTGTGCATTCCGAACAGTCAAGTCGCAACAGGGTGCATAGTGGCTATACCGGCATCGGCGGAGCGTTACCACTACGTCACCGCAACAGGTGGCGCACTGGCTAGACGTGGCTATACGAGAGTTGCTTGTGGCAGTGAGCGCTTGTTCCGAGAGGCGCTTCAAAAATGTGGCACGCGCGCTGGATCTGCAGCGCGGAAACGCAACAGAGCGCTGAATCAGTACCTCGAAGAGACACCGCTGCCAGAGTCGTCCCGCGCACTCCGCACCGTATGGTTTTCTACGCCGCGAGGATCCGTTTTTGTACACCGCGTGCATCCGCGCCGGTCCGGCCGAAGCGAAAAGTCAGGCTCATCGCCATCTGAACGTGTTTTGTATCCGCTACTGCTTGACGAGCACGTAATCGCATAGCCGTTATTAAACGACCGTGTACGTGTTCTATGTTCTCTGACGTTAACCAGAGTACGCGCTGACTGGATGGCGCGCGAGGGTGTGGCCTATGCGGGCGCGCACGAATGCGCTAACGACGCGGCGGACGTGCTTTGTGCCCAGTCAGGCAGAAGCCGGCGGGCAGGCGCGGCAATGTCCGATGGCGCCGGTGTAGCGCTGGCGTCCGCTAAAGGGCACAGGTCGCATGGGGTGGGGGGGGGGGGGGGGAAGCTCCACCGCCAGCCCCAGCGGTACGGCCAATCAGGGTCGCGGGCCCATCCAAGAAAGTCGGTACATATGGACAATCGGCATGGATCCCCTAACCGGGCCCGCAGTGATAAGCTTAGTATTGGCTGACGGCGATACACGGCGGGAGACTGATCCACGACACCAGTAAGTACCTACCTCATAAAGACCAGGTTTGCCTCCCATCAGCCATGGCATAGCGGTCATACAAACGCGCTTCGAATTTGCTGCCAACCGAAACTCGTAGGCAAACTCCCCGACCATGTTATCGGAGCATCAAGAAAATTAACACTTATGCGGGATTCCCCATTCACGCAAGTCCGAACACAGCAACCATCACGCTGCCCCTCCCTCCGCCCGCTGACGAAGTGAGGATCCGCGCCATCCGTCTCGCGTGCTTGTCCCCCACACGACAGCCCCAGCGCGCGCCACCCCAAACCCACGGAGACAGCGAGGTGGCCACGCCCCTCCCTCCCCCCCCCCGCCCCCACTTCCGCCGCCATCAGCTCTCGCCCAGCGACCACTGACCTGGTCGGTAACCGGTGCTGCCATCTGTCGGATGCGGCTCGAACGAGGCGGCCAGGCTGCCCATCAGCTCGCGGAAGGTCGGATTACCGGTCAGCTGGGCGCGCGCGCGACCAGAGCCCTTCTCGCCGGTGAGGAGGCCTGCCGGACCAGCACAGCACAAGTCAGGTCAGGTCCAGGTCAGGTCAAGTCATGCCATATCACATGGTCAGACCACAGGCCTCGTGAACGTTCACACAACATATTACCTTTTCACGCTCGCAGGCTATAGATTGTGTCAGGCAGTGAACAATTCAGGTCACAGGTTCGCAAAAGTTCAGGAGAAAAGGCAGCTCAGCTGGGCAGGTCAGGGTTACCAAGTAAACCCAAAAACCACAGATCGGATCGGCTCAGGTCAAGACGGGTCAGGTCAGGCCAGGAGATTGGGTCACACTTTTGCTGGGTCGGGTCAGTCCACTGTCCCGATTAGGTCGGGTAGGTCCGCAGACTACAGATCAGATTAAACTAGGTCAAAGATCATCGGCGCGTGTGACAAGCTACCACACCGCCCACGGCGTGAAGGAAGACAGAGCGCTGGTCGGCGCGCCGTCCGCTGCCAACCCAACATCGTCACCAACGGCTGCGTAAGGCATATAAACGCTCTCAGTCGAAAGTCCACCTGACTGACACTACGTCATTCCGAGCAGTCTCTGTTTAAAAGACACAAAGAACATGCTATAAAGGGCACATTCGCATGCCTTACATTCGTTTTTCCCTGTGCAAGCTGGCGCAGGGCTTGGGACCAGTAACGAGGCGCTGGATGCAGCAGTTACGGGCGTCGACCCTGTCAAATAAGCACAGCGATGACTGCATCACACCAGTCAGCCAGCTGCAAAAGTCGGTGTGCGCCGCCACCGGGTGGTCGTCGGCCGTCGCTGACTCACCCTGCAGGAAGCTGTAGAAGCTGCGCAGGCCGTGCAGCTGCAGCAGCTCCAGCGCGTGGTACAACGACATGCAGATGGCGAAGTCCGCCCTCCACGACGCCGGCCTGGCGCGCCGCCATCCCGGCCGGCCGCGACTGCCTGCCGGGAGCGGCTCGGGGTCATCCGACGGCCTCCCGTCGGGGCCCGGCAGGGCGGGCAGGGCAGGCAGGGCACGGAAGGGCAGGGCAGGGCAGGGCAGGCAGTGTGCAGGGCATGGCAGGGCAGCGGAAGGGCACGGAAGGGCAGGGCAGGGCAGGCAAGTGCATTGTGTCAGCAAATTGACAGACAGTTACAAGGTATGCCTCACGAGTGCAGGCAGTTTGTCAGCTGGTGAAGAAATAGAAATTAAAATATGGGGACAGCCGGGGTGTCACTTTTCTAAAATCGGTTGGTGAGTTTAGCCGATAAGGTTGACCCGATGAGCCAGGGTCACATGTCCGAAAGCTGATTTCTCCCCGGAATTCGGGCCCCTTTAATTCGCCTCCCCGGGTAAATAGATGTTTGTTCTAGAAACCATATTTCAAAATTGTGTGCTGCTGCGGCGGAGACGAGTTCCCATTTTCACAGCGGTGTGAAGCTGCATTCTTGTGAAAAACTTGAAACTCGGGGTTTAATTCACCGAAAAGCATCTTAAACATTCGAGCACTTGTGATCAAAGACAATAGGCATCAATCCTCGTTTATCGAAGGTGGTCCGAGTCACCAAACAACGGCTTCATGGAGGATGGCGCGGCCTGACAAGTACGGAAGAAACCCTACGCAAATTGTTAGGTACACTGCCGCCATATACCTATATACATAAGAAAAACTGACCTCAGGCGAACCTTCTCTGCAGACATATCGATAATTAGAGGGACAGAGTAGGCAAAGACTAATCACTAAATGAGTTTCCAAAGTGACCGTCTTAAAAATGGCGTGGTCAGCGCTTTGACGCGCGTTTAAAGTTGATATGAAGAAGACGGGTCTTGAACCTCGACGTTTCGTGCTGATAACCTGGGAGCTCTCACGTCGATAGTAATCGCCGGTCCGGATACCAGGAGGCAGTGGTTAAATATTTTTGAAAACTTGTTTTGGGGGAAAACCGACCTTTCGATGATAACGTGATGATGATTTGGGCGTAAGAGTACGTCGACTACCAATGGTCATATGGTTTGAAAGCTGTCCTTACGGTCACATTTACCGCAAAAGTTGATCAATAGCATCTCAAGGTCTTTCATTCTGCAACACACCGCACAACGCGTGTTGATTCTATTGCTAAACGCCCTTGCTGTGGTACGACTGGGTGAGTGACACACTGCACAGCTGTACGCTACATTGGCCCGTCGACGATGTGACGGGCGTGGAATCACTGATCACTACCGCTGTCGCTGATGGTGTTTTGCCATTCAGTTAGCGGTCAAGTACTACCGCAGGTCGCGACTATGTGATGAAGACACTTCTCACAGTCGAGGGATACATGGGTTAGCTTGTGTCTGGGCCACTCTGTGCTTTAAAAACGCTGCCGCATACTGCAGTCCGTTGTTGTTTATCCCGACACAGCTTTTATCCTGTGAAATGCCTGCCAAGCACTCGCAGACTGGCCTAACATAACACGACGTTCTCTGGACAAAAACACTGCGAACTTGCAGGATAGTACTTGGTACAAAATGGCAATCATGCTAATACCAAGGCGTCTAGGTACCTAGTGTACCAATAATTAGCATATTCCTTTATGTATATTTGGCCCAGTATTCCCTCTGCTCGTACGCATTCAGGTGGGCTTACAATACGTTGGATGGATTACTAGATTACGTCAGCATTGGGGGAGGGGCCCCCGACCCCCAAACCCCAGAAAGTACACCCGAAAGTACACAAGGTGATGCCCCTGAGTGCAGCAAGACAGCTATCGCGCTGGGGGCCGGCGTGCTGAGCCGAGCGGGTCAATCCCGAGGGGACCTCATGCTGCCGTCACGCGAGTGTTTAAGACGAACCCGTCAGGACCGCCTCATGCTGCCGTCACGCGAGTGTCTTAAGACGAACCGTCAGGACCGCCTCATGCTGCCGTCACGCGAGTGTCTTAAGACGAACCCGTCAGGACCTCGCCAGCTGCGACCCTCCCACAGTCAATCGCTGACAGAGGACCGAAACACAGAAGCCAGCGCTCCGGGAGCTTCCAATGTATGGATCCTAGTTCAAACATGTTGCGCATAAATCAGGGGGTTTTCAACCAATGTCTGGCGCATTACCTCAGATGACGCGTTAACTCTCTTCAGTACCCAGGGCATCTGACCAAACCGAGTGCAGAAGAGGACAGGGCACTAAAAATGGGGGTAAAGTCAATATATAAAGCTCCCAAACATGCTGGCCGATACGTACCCATTACCGCGGGTCGAGGCTGCCCGCAACCAAACGAACGTGCGACTGGTGAAGTTGAGCACACATCTCTCTAACAAAGCCCGAGTCGAAAACGGCCAAGATAGCTAAAATTAAAGAACATGGTAGTTTAAAAACTATCTGCTTTACCGACATCGTCCTAAGCATATATCCCACGTTTGCACTTAACAAGTCACTTACAGACGTGATCGTCCCTCGCTCGTCACCTGCATACCTAAGGAAACCATAGCTACTTGGCAAAGATGTTACTTATCTTCACCACGCTTCAGAAGACAAAGGGGCAGCAAATTTTATGAGACAGAAGAGATGGCGAGCTGGCGCCCGGCATCGCAGATCGAAGGCAATCGCCCGAAATAGCTTACTTGAAGGCATCGCGAGCTCTCAGAAGCTGATACTTGGTCAACGTCGTATCATCCCTGGTGTAGATCAACTTCAGCTGAATCAGTCTGCACAAGAATGTCCGAACTACCTGCAACAAAAGCCATCAAAGCAGCCGATTAGCTACGATTACACCGAGATACTTTTTGATGCTCACCATCCCCCAAATGCGACACGATCGTCAAGCCCATAAACAGACACGTATAATTCTTCATTTGACACACGATTGTATAACAACCCCATACAATACATGCACAAGCGCTCAGAAAGCCCGTCGGAGCCTGCAGAGTCGGGCAGATCAGCCACAGCTGCGCTGCCTGCTTCCGCCATAGCCGATGTCCTCGGATGATGATGATGATGATGATGATCGGAGTTTTGGGGCGCGCCGGCGTCGGCGTTCACGTTGTGCCCAGGCGTACTCGGAGCAGTCAGATACAAGCTCGGGCGGCCACTCCCAGAACGGGGATCAAATTAATTCACATAAAAGGACTTAAATGGCATAAATGCGGGCTGGAATGAAATCACTTTTTTAAATGCGTTGCTGCATTGATATCTAGCGGCGGAATTCAGCCAGAAGCGTTTCTAAAGGGGTGCATCACCTTCGGGACGTACTTTAAAAGCATACTCTGGTGAAATCCGAGAACAATTTACGTCTGATAATAGCACTGGCTAATGCCACTGCGGCACCACTGAGATACAATAATGACGCAAACTTTTTTTATTTTCCATTCCAAATTATGTTATTCACGCTTCGTAACAACACTACATTTCTTCCCTTCTTGGCGGTCCCAACGCGTATTCCAAGTCTACGATAGCTGCAGCTGTCGTGACCGTCGTTGTCATGACAACGGCAGAATCTGATGAGTGCTGTTGTGAGCTGTCACGGGTTAGAGGTACTACTTTTGAGCTGTTTTAACCCACACGCTGCGGACCTGTGGGCTAAAAGTGGCGCCTCTACTGGCATGCATGACGTTAATATGAAGGAACGTTTGTGACTGGCACAGTGGGCGACGAGACCCTGTTACCGAGGAGCGCAATGGTTTAAGTTTGGACCGGTGTGTCACTTCAGACCATGTGATGCTCCGTTTCCCGAAACCAAAGGGCGAGTCGAAAAGAGACGATGCGGTAAACGTCACAGGGTAGAAATCTGAGCCAAAGTGTAGCGTTTCGTTGAATACGCGGGATAATAGTCTCATGTTTGAACAAACTTTTCCCAAAAAGTGTTCCAACCTTCGTAGTATTCATTACACAAGCATTTTGACAGATTTGGTGTGTTGCAAATATTACGGGACGTATACCTTGGAAAGAGCGGGCAAATTAAACGCATTGTTTTCATAGTGGTGATTGCAGTGAGTCCCGTGACATTTACCCGCAGCAGCGGCACTTCAAGCAGAAATTCTGAGCTTTCCAGAGTGATTTTGAGACAACTGGAATCACCCAACAAATCGGACGCGTCTGATCTAAAACTAAGTGAAAGTGCAAAATGGGTAGTATTCTCCCTTTAACAGGTCGTCAAAAGTGAGCAGCCACGGCTTGTTCAGCGTCAAAGCAAAGACCTGCGCTGCAATAACCAGAAAAAGGTGCACGCCGTCGCATATGCTATCTAGCACGTAGAATCTACAGTAGCGTAGACAACATAGTCCCAAATTACATTTGAAATCAGAACCACGCATATCAAGACTCCCTCAAAACAATACACCGTTCTCCACAACTTCTAGAAGTTCACGGCTAGCACTCCTCGTTCGTTGGTAATGGCCTTCAGCGCTTGACTGAGTCTTGAGTTAGTCTACATTCTCTGCTTCGCTGTCAGACCGCAGGGACGTCACTACAGACCCATATTTTTCGTGTCACTAAAGCGCCAGAGTGAGCCCCCTGCCCGGGGTAATCCACTAGCAGGACATCTGGCCGCGTACGGCCGATCACGTGCCGCCGACCCATATCCTAACCAATCGGTTCTCGCAGCTCCCCCAGCTCCCCCCCCACCCCCCCCCCCCCCCCCCCTCATCCCACTCCTACTTCTCCGCCTGGTGCCCATAAATTAAACCACAGCACGGAGTATCGCGGAACTCAGTGACAGTCCGCGTACCTTTGTTTATCACTCCCAACGGTGGACACGGCCCCTGCGCCATTTTACCAACACATCACACTGAACTATATCGGTGTACAATTAAGTCACTTCGGAAGCAATATTTCCTTTCTCGTTGAAGCGTGCTAGGAGCCTCTTTTGCTCCTCAGCGTTGCGTGAATGAGGCAAATATCTTTAATTTTGCACCCACAGCCCAAACAGGCGGACATCAGCCTGATCAGTCTTGTTGTCTACCGCACTGGAGATACATCTATGTTTCGCGTAACACCGACACTTCCAGCTAAATTTTGCAGAACCTTAAGCTGCCATCAATGCGTCAAGAAATGTCACCCTTTCATAATCCCAAAAAGGAGCTATCCAACGCGCAGCTGTGGCCGGCTCGACATGTGATATGTGACGTCATGTCAGCCGTCTGGGCGCCACCCAGACCCGTTCTGAGCCGGCTGGCGGCGCGTGGCGCGCGGCGGCCAGCTGGCCGCGCCATGGCCGTGCCCACCTCCATGTATTTGTCTCGGACGCGACGCAGGTCGTCCCCCAGCGGCACCACCACCTTCTCCAGCTGGCGCTGGTGCGTGTACGGCTTGACGTCGTCCGACTCCTCCGAACGGGCCTCCACCTTGGAGATCAGCAGGTTCGAGAGCACCTGCAGCCGTGTGGAGAGTCAGCCGGCGGCCTTCTCGGTAGAGCTGGCTTATCTGCGTTCGAAACCAAATCCCTTTCTGGCAGAGATGTCACCCGCTTGTTCCCATAAGCTTATATCATGTTACATGAAGCCAGCGCAAATTAAGTGATGGCTCCAGCCTTAAATGTCATTCTAGTCTGTAATTCGCGCTGAACATTCCTAATTGACATCCAACCTTTAAAAACTAAATTCAGATTTAATTGCATCCATAGTTCAAATATGTAAGCATAAGTCAGATATATATGTCATCGGTAGGTGCAGAATATGGGCCCGGGCGATCCTGTCTAGGCCCCACTAGCTCCTCTGGTGGCGATTACCTGCTCACAGCTTTCAGGTCGCTCCCCGGGGTGGCGCTGAGTGCAAGCACACGGAACTGGGTGGAATGTCGGCACAGCTCCTTTATGACTTGGCAGTAGGCATGATTTCCCAGAGCCTGGAACGAGGCAATAGAGTTCACTTAACGTCATCTTGTCTTTGTTCGATAACGGGACACTTGAATGTAACCAACAAATGTGGACAAGCACGCACAAGTTTTGAAACCACTCCAGGTGGCAGGCCACCCACGCAATACAAAATATTCACTTTGGAACTCATGTACACCGTCCCTTATATCCTGTCTTGTCTCACACCCGCATCCTCGCGACACCCCGCTTGACTGGGGTAGGCTGCATACGTCAGCCCCAATTGAGCCGAGAGCCCCGCAGGAAAGGGGAACCGACCGGGTACTCAGCGCGCATGCGCGGGTTAAAGCTCGGCGTTTGCCCCACCCCCCCACCCAGGCGCATGCAAGTCCGCCTCACTATTAAACAATTTCCTTCATCCTTTAGCCGTGAAATGATCATTTCTGGTCGAGAGGGCTCAAATCCAACAACCAAACGAACTCATGTAAGAGCAGGCTTGTCAAGTGTAAAGAACACAACAGCACATCAGGTTTGGCGAACATATTTTTGGGGTTTTCGGTCAATTTTGCAATCACCTTGATGTTGGAATACGAACTTAATCATTACAGGCCAACGACACCAATTGCCATTGTCCAGTCACATACATATTTACATCTTACCACGTTTATGAGTTGATTTCTAAAGCACAATGGGTCATATCTGAGTTTTTCGTTGGAATTGCCTGAGCTCTTGTTTTCTTGCTATGAGAATAAATTCTCTGCTTGCCTTGTTGGGATAATTGTTTGGCAAGAGCCAAGAAGATAAAGTTTTATAGCGCAAAAACTGATTGATGGCAGTACTGAGGCAGAGGTGCCGTCTTCTAGAAGTTCGTATCTAAGTCCAATCCAATGTCTACAAATGGACCAGCTGTCCGTCCCAAGTGTCCAAAAAATCAGGTTCCAAGAGCTTCCAATTTTGTTCTTATATCAAATAACTATTACCTGCAACAAGTAACGCAGTCACTACTCACGTCACTGCATTCCCTCACTTCGAATAGAATGAAAAACAAAACAAAATGACTGCTAGCGTGTACCACGGGCCTTCGTGAAGACAATTTTAGAAGTTTCATGGCCTAAAGAATGCGTGACAGTGCGCACGATGAGTTGTTATCTCATGTTTCAAAAACAAGAATATGCCGGTGTGCCCTACCAATGAGTTATTTATGTTCCAGAAACTTTTTCCAGAACATGCAGCATTAAATAAGATAAGGTGGATACCAACTTGCGACAAAACAGAATGACATCGGTTGTCTCAAACATTACAAAGGCTCGCACCCCTGTCCGCCCAATTTCAAAATCCACTTTAAGGTTTTGGGATTCTAAAAACACGGAATCCAATCGGCACCTCTAGCCTACTCCGGTTGCCGCGGCCGCCGACACGGACCTTGTGCGCCTCGTCGACAACGACGCAGCGCAGCAGGCTGGCCGGGCAGGCGCCGTGGTCAGGTCGTTGTTGAGCACCTGCGGCGTGAGGAAGAAGACGCGCCGGTCGCACCACACGCGCCGACGGTCGGCCGGCGCCATAGAGCCTGGCGGAAGGCAAAGGTCAGGGTCACATGCGACGGTCGGCCGGCGTCATAGAACCTGGCGGGAGAGGACGGTCAGGGTCACATACCGACGGCCGGCCAGTCAGTGCCATAGAGCCTGGCGGGGAGAGACGGTCGGGCTCAGACACCGATGGTCGGCCGGCGCCATAGAGCCTGGCGGGAGGGGACGGTCGGGGTCACACACCGACGGTCGGTCGGTAGAAGAGCCTGGCGGGAGGGGACGGTCGGGGTCACACACCGATGGTCGGCGGCCAAAGAGCCTGGCGGGAGGGGACGGTCGGGGTCACACACCGATGGTCGGTCGGTGCCAGAGAGCCTGGCGGGAGGGGACGGTCGGGGTCACACATCGACGGGAGCCGGGTCAGGACCGGACGACACGATTTACGATCGGGACGGTCCGCCCAGATTTCAGACAAACCAGAGGCGCCACCCACACGGCGTGACATCAAGCACCCACTAGGAATTCGAGAGGAGAGACTTAGCTGCTTCGAAAATTAGTAATGTTACTACACATACAGCCTCTCATGTGGTTATTCAACATCAGGGCGTATCGAACATCAAAATCGGCCTGCCATCTTGGTTTGGCGGAGCACCTGCTAGCCATAGCCGCGGCAGTGCGCCACGACCCGCCGCCGCCTCACCTGTAACCTCAGCCGTGTCGTCCGAGGGATGCCCATGATGCGGTAGCAGGCCTCGATCTGTGGGCCACCAGCGGCTTGGTGGGCGCCATGAACACCACCTTGCCCAGCGGGTACCAGCGGTAGAAGTTGTACATCACACGGCCGCGATGAACGTCTTGCCAGCAGAGCAGCGCGGCCCCGCCGTCCGACCGTCCAGCAGGACGGATCGGGTGAAGGAGCCGCACATAGCGATCTTACCCGACCCGGTCGGAGCAGGCCCACCGTCGGACACGCAGAGCCGGCTGGTCCGCCAACCGTACCGTGGAACGGTCAAAATCTGTAATACGGTCCCAGCAGCCCGCTCACCCGGGGCCCAGCCACGCAGCCTAGGCAAGCTCCATGGGGTCCAGCCCGCTAACCACGGGCGCCCAGCCACTGCAGCCCAGGCCAGTTCCATGCACGCAGGTTAACCTTCAAAACACACTTGGGAAGACTCTCTGAACGGAGCGAGGCCGGCCTCGCCACCCACCTGTCGGCAGCGCCACGAGTGTGTTCTCGAACAGCGCCGTGCGCACCATGCTGTATGATACTGGCGCACCGGGTAGTCGATCGGGTAGGTCCAGGTCGTGCCGGAGCCGCGTCGAAGCCGGGCAGTGTCTCCAGGGCGGTGCCGGCCGACGGCCCCGCCTGACACTCGCTGCCGACGGCGCAGAGGGCGCTTAACAACGTGTCACATGTGTGGCCGTGATGGAGGCGTCAGCGCCAGACGGGGACGCAGCGGGCGCAGCACAGCACCGGCGCTAACAGAGGACCCCAATGGTCAACATGCGCTTCCTGGGCTGGAGACGTGCGCGATGCATGCAGAAATCAATACAGCTTTCATCTACAGAGAAAAAAGCCCGCAAAAGATGAATCAATAGCAATGGAGGATGATGACGCAGCAACAAGAGGGCGCGTGCGATGCGGCCGGACTTCCGCCGCATTGGCTTGCAAACCGTCAACCCCACCCAGTTTACAGACCGAGGCTGGCATACCTCATGGTCTCATCCAGCGCCTGCGCCAGCAGCAGTCGTCCTCGTCGTCCGTCGATGAGGATGACGTCATCGGAGGACGTCTTCGACGGTGCAGGGGCCGTCCGGGGCGGGCACGCCTGGGGCCCCCGGCAGCCGGACGCCGCCGGCGGTGCAGGCCCCGCGTCATCCTTCTTGAAGCCAGCTTGGAACAAGGTGAGCTGCTTGGGCTTTTGGGGCTGCTGCATCGGCAGTGAACAAGGCGTCTGAGGGCAAGGAGCTCATCCTGAAATGGAAGCTCTGCATAGCCTCTGAAGCACTGCTTATGAATTGATTCCACATGAAGGTATATTGTAAAACATGCATTGTGCATGGATTTTCTGATGTCACATTACAAACATTTGTTAACAGCTTTTTGGGGTCAAAGCATACAACACCAGCCAAGAAGCATGCATGATAGATGCAGACAGTGAAATGTAGACATGCAAAGTGTATGCATGCAGAATGCATTATAGTGCTGATTTTTTACCCTTGATGCTGAAAAGACTTTTGAGAAAAGGAAAAGAAGAAAGCCTCTGTGGTAAACAAATAATAACTTTTTACCAGAAAACATTTTTCAAATTCACTACTTCACATTTCATCAGACTTCTCATTCATTAAACAATATTAAATTATTGATACCTAACACTTTTGGAGTTATTTGCAATTAAGCCAAGCTTTAAGGATCCAAGACTTAAAAAGAAGCCATAAGGGGGTATTTCTCCTTTGGAATGAGAATGTTTTATGCATCCTCAAAAAACTAATGGTGTTTACTAGGTCAAATTCTAATGATACAAATTTAGGTTTTAGGGTGAACTGTAGGCTCAATCCCTTTAACATGCATTAACTTTGCAGAAAACCTGATGGAAGTAGAGAGCTATTGGTAGCTTGTTGGCAATCATTATTTGGATACAGAAATCCTCATCATCAGTTGGAGAAAAAATACCAGGTTAAAGGGCAATTATTATTACAAAAAACACTGTATTTAAAAAACCAATGAAATGGAGCATTGGGCACAAGGGGTGATCTCAGTCTGAGCTTGATGGTGATGGTTGCAAAAATTGGTGCCAATGGATTCCAGAAACAATAAGCCCATGTGTAAGACAATTGGATGTTTGCCAGCGTAGCTCTTCCCTCTGTCGGCCATACAAGTACCAAAGTAAAGAAGTCCTAAACACTGCATAGCACCATCTGAACAGGCTGCCTTCTATTTAATAGTCGGATTTTGGGCAAGAGTTGTGGATTTCACACCGACATTTTGTTATCCACAGCTGCACATGATCTTTTGGCTTCCATGATC